GGGAGGCTCTGCCTGCGGCCTAGCGCCACCGGAGCCTCCCGCCCGCCCTTCACCTCCATCTTCAAGCTGCAGAAGGAGGCGGGAGGCGGGCGGGAGGCTCCGGTGGCGCTAGGCCGCAGGCAGAGCCTCCCGCCCGCCTCCCGTCTCCTTCAGCTGGAAGATGGAGGCGAGGAGCGGGTGGATGGCTCTGCCTGCGGCCTAGCGCCACCGGAGCCTCCCGCCCGCCCCTCGCCTCCATCTTCAAGCTGCAGAAGGAGACGGGAGGCGGGCGGGATGCTCCGGTGGCGACTAGGCTGAGGCAGAGCCATCCGCCCGCTCCTCGCCTCCATCTTCCAGCTGAAGGAGACGGGAGGCGGGCGGGAGGCTCTGCCTGCGGCCTAGCGCCACCGGAGCCTCCCGCCCGCCCTTCACCTCCATCTTCAAGTTGCAGAAGGAGACGGGAGGCGGGCGGGAGGCTCCGGTGGCGCTAGGCCGCAGGCAGAGCCTCCCGCCCGCCTCCCGTCTCCTTCAGCTGGAAGATGGAGGCGAGGAGCGGGTGGATGGCTCTGCCTGCGGCCTAGCGCCACCGGAGCCTCCCGCCCGCCCCTCGCCTCCATCTTCAAGCTGCAGAAGGAGACGGGAGGTGGGCGGGATGCTCCGGTGGCGACTAGGCCGCAGGCAGAGCCTCCCGCCCGCTCCTCGCCTCCATCTTCCAGCTGAAGGAGACGGGAGGCGGGCGGGAGGCTCTGCCTGCGGCCTAGCGCCACCGGAGCCTCCCGCCCACCTTCACCTCCATCTTCAAGTTGCAGAAGGAGACGGGAGGCGGGCGGGAGGCTCCGGTGGCGCTAGGCCGCAGGCAGAGCCTCCCGCCCGCCTCCCGTCTCCTTCAGCTGGAAGATGGAGGCGAGGAGCGGGTGGATGGCTCTGCCTGCGGCCTAGCGCCACCGGAGCCTCCCGCCCGCCCCTCGCCTCCATCTTCAAGCTGCAGAAGGAGACGGGAGGCGGGCGGGATGCTCCGGTGGCGACTAGGCCGCAGGCAGAGCCATCCACCCGCTCCTCGCCTCCATCTTCCAGCTGAAGGAGACGGGAGGCGGGCGGGAGGCTCTGCCTGTGACCTAGCGCCACCGGAGTCTCCCGCCCGCCCCTCGCCTCCATCTTGGGCGGATCGACGTTTATTCACCCTTTAGCCCGGAACAGAGGTGAGTCTTCTTCATCCAAATGGTTAGTCTTCTTCATCCAAAGTTTCTCCTCCTGACTATCCACAGATCTCTGGGAAGATCAGGAGGAGCAGCCTATCAGTACAATTGACTTGTGGGTCGGCCGCCATTTTGGAGGGGGCGTGGCTAGCCAATGCGGCTTGGCGACCCCCAGAAAATGGCCAAACGACCCCCCGGGGGGTCGCGACCCCCAGGTTGAGAACCGCTGTTGTAGACACTTTGGTTCATCCCCCTCTCTAATAGAGAGTCCTCACAAGACCACTTTTAGAGTTTCCCATAGAAGGTCAATTGATGTTTCTGGGGTTTGGTGGTATGACTATAAATGCTCCACCTTATATGTATTTTTATGCTAAGTTTTGTTTGTTTGTCAGTCTCTGTTTTTCCAGCTCTATCTCCATTTTCCTTAATTCTCTTTCTTTTTCCTCAGCCTGACTGGCTCTTTCCAATCCCAACCTCTTCAATTTCCTGTCTTTTTCCAATTCCAACTTTCTCAATTCTCTTTCCTCAGCCTGACTCTTCAATTCTCTTTCCCGTTGTCTTTCTTCCATTTCTAACTTTTTCATCTCCAGTTTATATTTGAGAGTCATTTCTGACACAGGCATTTGTTCAGAATCTGAACTCTCTTCCTGGGATTCCTCTGTTTCTTCAGCCATCTTCTTCTGACATCTGGTGGCCATTTTTTGAAAAAATTTGCCTCACGATTTTCTTCTCTAAGCGATCTTAAGGCACTAAACTTCGATGTTACACGTATCTCACGCTTGCCGCCAATTTGCGGTGATGTTAGCTCTATTGTAAAGGTTATACTCCAATTGTACAGGGCTGCCACCAATTTGCAAAGTCTGCACGCACCAGTTGTACAATTGTGCTAATTGCGAAGGTGCTGCAATTACAACAACAGACAGGGTATAGGACTTTTAACCTTAAAGAACACACCCACTGTCACCAACTGTACTGTCTGCTCTTAAATTCTGCCACCAGTTGTATTCAGGTGTGGATGATTATAAATGTAATTCAGGTATCTACCACCAACGTGAGGTATTGCCGATGAGAACTGGCTCCCCAGACGCAGATAAATGGAGATGACATGGTCTTCAAACAAAAGTTAATAAGTTTATTTTGTACAAAGCGTATGGTTGCAGGCTGTTGGTTAACTTGGAATAACTTGGAAAACTCTGAATGTAACTTGGTTTGCAATACAGTTCACACTTCTGGATGATACAACTTGTAATTGACTTTTACTGTGGTGAAGCACTTTCATAAACAATGTTTCCTGAGGTGAATAGCCTTCTTATTTGATCCTTTCTTGATCAAATCCTAGATCCCTAGTTCTTTCCTAACTAGTGATCTAAACAAGCTTCCCCTAGTCCTCTCTGACTAATGAAACTAATTAGGTTTCCCCCTTCAGCCTTCCTAGACTGAAGAAACCTCTGGCTATTCACACACTGCTTCTCCACTCTCCTCTCTCAACTGCTTACTCCGACTCCAAACCCCCAACTGACTTCCTTTCAAAACGCAGATAACATTCTCTTGCTAGGCTCTGCCCACTTCTCCTTCTCCTGCCTGGTCTCCTTGGCAACCTCCTGTGGATACAACCAGTTAGCTCTAGCTTTCAGCTACTGTTACCAAAACAATTATATTCTTACAGTTAAACATATATACAGTATCAATAACTTCTGTACAGGTGGTATGACTATAAATGCTCCACCTTATATGTATTTTTATGCTAAGTTTTGTTTGTTTGTTTTTCATTTCAGGAGCGTCTTGAGAAACTGCAAGTCGTTTCTGGTGTGAGAGAATTGGCCGTCTGCAAGGACGTTGCCCAGGGGACACCCAGATGATGTTTTGATGTTTTTACCATCCTTGGGGGAGGCTTCAGGCCTGTAGCCGGGGGGGGGGGGGGGGGGTTCAACCTCCCTCCCCGAAATTTTTCAGGTTAAAAAAACTGGTTTACTCATGAATTTTAACTGGTTAACCAAATCCCCATGCTAAGTCTATGAGACGCAAAAAATTAAGAGTCCCTCCAGAACTGCAAGCACTATCTCAGGCAAATATTGACAATTTATTCACACTGTCATTATTTGCAGCAATAGCCAATGTAGCGAAGCAACCAAGTTGGGGGGGGGGTGTTGAATGCTCTCATTAAGGAGGCCAGACTTGGTGGAGGTGGTTGACAGGGGTGGAGCTGCAGGCTATTGAAGGCTGCTCTGCCCCCTGCTGTGCTCTTTGCTTTAGCATGAGCTAGGAGGCAGGTTTCACACACCCCTGAAATTTTCAACCCCCCCCCCCCCTAAAATATTTTTTCTGGCTACGGCCCTGGGAGGCTTCTCTCATATCCCTGCATTGAGAGCTGGAGCTGACAGAGCGAGCTCATCCGTGCTTTCCCCAGGTTCAAACCTGTGACCTGTTGGTCTTCAGTCCTGCCAGCACAAGGATTTAACCCATTGTGCCACCGGGCACTCCGCTAAGTTTGTTAAGAGAGTGGGATTAAATCTCCATGTGTTTTTTTCTTTGTATCAGGATCAATTTGACAAGTTAATATTATGAGAAAGTGATTAGACTAGATAATGCTTTCTCTTTCAACATCTAAAATATCTGGAAGTAGTGGTTTCGGTATTAAAAATTGTCTATTGTGGAATACGTATGATGAGCAGTGGAATAAAAGGTGTAGTCCTTTCTTCTGGACTTAAAATCTTCCATGCTAATGAAATCAGCATTGGAAATTAGTCTTGCCAGATGTGGGATTTGAGGTTTCTTTTTACATGAATGATGGGATTTGTTTAGTCTTAATTTGTATGCCCATCCCCACCAAGAATTCAATCCCCTTCTGCTATTTCTTGTATTATTATTAAAGAGAACATAGAGTCAATTTTTGGGAGTTGGGGGAGAAGTATTGCTAGGGTAAACGTGAAAAGGATGAAGCAACCAGAAGGATCACAAACTATTTATGTAGACTGAAGTGCGCAGGTTCTATTGAATAGTATAGCAACCCTTTAGGGGTTATTGGAATTTCCACTTGTGTATAATGTTTCATAAAGAGATTGCGAGAGTATGAGAACCAGACCTTTTCTCTGAGTTTCCTGAAGAAGTACAATGTCAGGTTTCAGCTGTTTTAGTTATTTTGTGATGTGAGCCCGTCTGAAGGGAAATCCTAGACTTTTTACATTGTATGAATCCATTCTGATCCTAACCAAAAAACTGTGGATGAATTATAGTCCAAAATGGTGTATATTTCACCACTGGTATATATTTCAACGAGAGGGCTGAGAGAGGAGGTAACAAAAGAGTAGTTCATGTGAAATAGCCCAAGTAAAATATTGTATTAATGTAGTAACAATAAACAGAGAAAGACCACACAAAAGGCAACTTTCAGATCCAAATCAACTCAACTAATATCAATCTCCTCTAGATGTGGGCATGGGGATAAACATTACAGAAGTATGTTGGGGGAATGAAGAGATCTCAGGTGGCTTATATAGTATGCAATTGGAGAGTATCATTACACTGTGATTTGCATTATCACAGTCATCCCCACTACCACTGCCACATTGAATTTTCTTATATGTATGTGACATTGGCGATTTCGAAAAATTTGGGTAGTTGTAGGTAATGTGGAATTAGTTTTCGGTTAGAACTGAGCATATTTTTTTAATGACAACTTTTAAAAAATAATAGATATACCTGTCTTTATTGGACAACAATTATAATGCTGAACAGTTGAGGGTAGGTTTGTTACATTTCATTTTCCATCTCTCTTTTTTTTCATTAAGAAGAGCTTTTCAAAGGCCGAAGTTATGAAACCCACATTTATCGTGTTTCACAATTGCAGGAAGCTTTGCACTTTTCCTGAACCCAATCCACCTCACATTCATAATGGTCGATTATGTTTGCACACTCCTTAGCACTCAGATGATTTATATACTTGCATGGATTGGCTGAAAGGAATACATATATTTCAAAAGACAATTAGATGAGATGGAAGATTAAAGCCATTTTTAAAATATGCATTTTTTCCAGCAGTTTACAGAATGTCCGCAGCATTGTTTACTAAGGATGTTAAAGAATAGTCACAAATCTTCTCACCCTTGATAAGAAAAGGTGCTGAAAGAACTACCGCAAAATTGCAAACCGGTTTTTTTTTGTATAAAAGATAAACATGTTTTTTTCCCATAAAAAGACCAGGAAATCAATTTTTCTGTTTCAAACAATGGCCAGAATCCTGTATCAGCTTATACTTCACTTAGTACTAACTAAATGACTTCTTCCGACCTGACCTCACTGCCCAAACCTGATAGAAACATCATTCAACATCATTGGCAGAATAGCCCTCGGATAACTGTTTCATGTTCACAATCGCTACTTGGTTATTAGGGCTGGGTAACCACGGAAAAATTTGTTTCTAAACTCAATTCGTTTTTAGGGGGTTTTTGCGTTTCTTTTTTTAAAACAATTCCGAAATTTTTCTTTAAAAAAGTTCGAAATATACGAAATTTCGGAAATTACAAAACAATTACGAAACAATTACGAATCGATTCGTTAATGGCGGACGCGATTGCGCAATACGCTAAAAAAAAAACCTCCAAATGGGACGGGGGAACTTCTGAAGCTTCCCTCTCCCTCTGTTGTTGACTGCTGGTGTGATAATTTATTTTTTTATCACTGATAAAACAAACAACAACTATAAAACTTGCACCAGACATACGGAAATAATAACGAAACAATTTAGAAACGATTTCGAAATGATTTCGAAACTATTTCAAACCAATTATGAAACAATTACAAAATAAACTGAAAAATTCGTTTCGATTTTTAGTTGCTCCTGCATGGCTCAATATCGGATCATAAGCTAATTTAAATACGAATCAATTACGAATTACGAAATTAACGAACGAAACCGCCCAGCCCTATTGGTTATGCTTTTGACACTATTGCCATGACTGTAACTCCCCCCTCCCCAAATTATTTGGCCTCAGTTGTATGAGGAAAAGAGGGGGGCAAGTATTAGAGAACAGTTGAATTGTGCTTCTGTCAGATTTGTCTTAAAGTTCTGGGGATAAAGTGAAGTATTTTTAGTAAAATGTCCTGAAATAAATACATAAATAAATAAATATGTAAATAGAAATTCACAAAATTTCATAATCTTGCCCAGCACTGAGAACATTAAAAAAGCAAATTCTTATTGGCAAGAACAAAAGAATTTAACATCAAAGACAGTGCACTTTTAGGGCTATCAACAATGAAGAGCTCATGAACCAGCACTTTTTTACATACTACCACTCTAAGTAACACTGGCTTAAAGTTTCTATTTCCACAGGAGACTCAGGGCCCTTCCAAACAGGTACAAGATGCAGGTACAAGAATACCCTTTAGGTCCCATGGGTCAATCCCCACTGCCACCCTGTTTCTTTGGGCTCCAGAAAGCCTGGAGGAGCAGGATGGCACCAGGATGGGGCAAAATAGGGGGTTAAGTGGCATCCCAGGTCAACCTTTGTTGACCCAGAATTCCACCCTTCCCAGGAAAGCCCGAGATTTCAGTTGGGGACTACAACCTGAAAGAAAGCGGTTTGTTTTAACTTCTTCTTGGGTTTCAGTATAGTGTAGAAGGGCCCTCATTTACCTGATTTTCAGTCAGCATATTCTGAAAACCAAGCTGTCTTGGTACAATTAGTTGTTGCTAACCTGTAATATGGCATTGATCACTATTGGTCTAGTAGAAATAGACAATGATTACCCTATGCAAGGATTTCTGGAGTAAATGAATATTTCTAAAGCTTGAAGAACTACTTTTTATAAACAAATGCTTACTGCAGAGTTTATCGTCACAGGCGTCTGGACAGTCCGCACATGATGGACCTTCTTTGTAGGGCTTTGGTAATGCATCAACTACGTTTCCGCTGGGGGGGGGGGGGGGGGGGGAAGGAATATAAGAATATCAGTCATACTATAGCATTATTGATTTAGCTCAAACTGTGGGTTTTTTTATTACTGCTTTTAGAAAGCACAAGAAATAATTTTCATGCATGTAACCTTACAATGTTTTGCAACAGGATAGGTCAATCATCGCTATGATACTTCACCTTGTTGATGGGAAGCTTCCCACTGGAGTGGAAATCATCCATCGGACAGATGGCAAACTATTTAACCTCAGCAGATTGAAAGCCAAAACCAAGGTTACAACAACATCTGTAATAGAACTCCAATATGCTGATGACAATGTCATCTGTGCGCATTCAGAAGAAGACCGACAAGCCACTCTAAACACCTTCGCAGAAGCATACGAGAAGCTCCGCCTGTCATTAAACATCGAGAAAACCAAAGTGCTCTTCCAGCAGTCACCAGCTAATCCCTCTCAAATGCCAGAAATACAGCTGAATGGTGTAACATTAGAAAATGTTGACCATATCTGCTACCTTGGCAGCCACCTCTCCACAAAAGTCAACATTAACACTGAAATTCAACACCGCCTGAGCTCTGCGAGTGCAGCATTTTTCCGAATGAAGCAGAGAGTGTTTGAGGACCGGGACATCTGTAGGGATACCAAGGTGCTTGTTTATAAAGCTTTTGTCCAACCCTGCTATATGCCTGCGAGATGTGGACAGTCTACAGACATCACATGCAACTCCTAGAACGATTCCATCAGTGCTGCCTCCAAAAAATCCTTCAAATCTCTTAGGAAGACAAGCGGATAAATGTCAGTGTGCCATGTATATGTACATTGTAATCTGCCCTGAGTCCTCTGCGGGGTGAGAAGGGCGGAATATAAAGACTGCAAATAAATAAATAAATAAATAAATAATGTGTCAAACTGTGCTGTTCATTCCAGATATAATATTTTTCTGAGCCTGATACTTAGGGGTACAGGAGGTTCAGTGTGAAACAATTGAAAATGCAGTTCTCATATAAGAAAATTCTCTTCATTCATTTGCTGGAGCAATAGGCTGCTGTATAAATTCCTTTCCACACATACAGATTGGGGATCCACTTGCCATGGCAACATCCTATGGAATTTTGGGATTTCCAGTTGAAAGGAGGAGATTTCTAAATTCTCAGCCATAGAACCCACCTGCTGCTTCTCATCAAACCACAAATCCCAGGATTCCACAGGATAGAGCCACGGCCCTTAAATTGCAAAGAGCACCACTACAGTCCAGTATGAAAGGGCCCTGGGTTTCCTTGATGAAATGAAGGAGTCCTAGCACACAAGGAACTCTGTATATGTTCAGAGAACAAGTGGAATTTTTGTACAGTGTAAACTGAGAACATTGATACTCACGCAGGACAGAAACGACATATGTAAAAATAGGTATAAGTAGGCTGCTTTGGACAGAAGGCAAACGCACATCCAATCTCATGGGTACTATACCAAACCATCTGTGAGGGAGAAAATATTTTTAAAAACGGGTACGTCTTAACATTATTATTGCAACTCTTATGTACAATCTTTTGCCAACCGACCTTGGAGGTGCCTATGGACAACACCGGCTCTTTGGCTTAGAAATGGAGATGGGCACCACCCCCCAGAGTCAGACACAACTAGACCTAATGTCAAGAGGAAACCTTTACTATGTACAATCACAGAAAGGTATGACAATTCAAAGAATATGAAGTATACCTTCACACTTTATAATTAGCTATGCAAGAGTACTTTGTCACCTTGATAACAGTTTTATATATTGTACCAGTTGTCAGTCCTATCTTCCTAGTGAGGGCAGCTGATTGAAACTATTATGGACTTCATCCCACAAATGTGTGGGTGGGTGGGTCAATGGAATGATCTCCTTTGTGTGGTGTCCCATGGTATTCTGGCTTTAATGAAGGCTTGACCCTTTTGTTCCTCCTTCTCGGGCTCGGCCCTCTTCCCTCACAAAGGCACCTTTTCTACTCCTATCTCATCCAGGGTTTTATTATTCTATCTGTGCATTTGGCCCACCCTATTTATTTGACTGTTATTATGTTATTTTGCATTGTTCATTTTATTTTATGTATTTTATTCTGATGTAATTTTTTTCTGTTTTTTGTATGTTATTCTACTGTATTGTATTTTTGAGCTTGGCCTCATTTGAGCCGCCCCAAGTTACCCTTTGGAGAGATGGTGGTGGGGTATAAATAAAGATTATTATTATTATTATTATTATTATTATTATTATTATTATTATTATTGTTAAAAATGTACTCCCCTCCCCCTCTGTATCACACAGGATCTCCTCCTCCTGCTTCTAGTTCAACCATCCACTTTATTCTCATCACATTGGCAGGCAATGTCTCCTCCCATTTCAAAGCTACCAACACATTTTTTAAAAAGCATGATTTTTGAGATATTGCTTTCCCTGAGATCCTTTGCCCTCAAGCCCCTTATACTAGAGGAGATGTTGTTGTTGTTCATTCATTCAGTTGTTTCCGACTCTTCATGACCTCATGGACCACTAGAGGAGATACAAAGTACCATTCTTGAGATCCGATGTTTCCTGGGACCGTTTAACCTCCAGGCCCCTTACACTAAAGAAGAGACCCACGCTGTCTTTTAACCACTAATGAAAACAGAGGGAGCATTACCAGACCACCCACAAGAATGGCCACTCTTTAACCACACTTTCCCTAAAATGAGGAAATCGGACAGTTCCGATACCACCTTCAAATAAGTATCTTTATACATTTCTGCATAAATTGGGAGCTCTTAAGATGATTGCTCTCCAACTGCAAAAAACTCTGTTTTGTATGCACTTTAAAAACATTTTAAAGATGGAGACCCATGGGCAACTGACGGCAGTACTCTTGCATCACTTGATGGGCTCCTGTGAAAGCCATCCACTACATGGCTACCAGCCTCTTCCCAGCAGACTCAAATCAAGGAAAAGCTTTATGAGAACTACCAGTCCTCTTGTCATCCCCCCTCCCCCCAGAAGCAGCAAGAGTATCCCTCTGGGCAGCTAAATCAGGAAATCCCAACTGGATCCTCCCCCCCACAAGGGTCTTCCTCCAGGGGCAAATCAAGAATGGGCAACCTGGAAGTCCATGAATAGACTCAGAAGCAGAGTGGGCAGAACAAAAGACAACCTGGCAAGATGGCACTACCTAAAGGAATCCCATACCTTGTGTGACTGTGGAGCAGAACAGACAACTCCGCATCTGTACGCTTATCCACTATGCCCTGCCTCATGTACAGAGGAAGAATTATTGGAGGCTACAGACAATGCCATTGCTGTTGCCCATTTTAGTCAAAAGATATTTAGCCACCTGCGCTTCTTCTATTTTTATTGGTTTTATACTAATTTATGCAATGCTCTTGATATGAAATAAATAAATAAATTGCATTCTTTTACTTTGGGAATTTTTCTTATCTGCTCATTAAAAGAATTGGAAAGGTATGAAGGAAAGGGAGGACAGAGTATAGATAAAGATTTGTGTTTCTTATTATTTATGTTCACTTTAGGGAAAACATCTTCCAATCCAAGACTAACATTCATTTGATTCTGCAGCTAGGATAGAATTAAAGCTTGTACTCAAATTGGTATATTAAGACAATAATTTCTTTTTTATGGTGATACAGGAGCTTTAGGGGTAGGGAGGGAATAAACTGAATCAGGACTGTCAGGCCCCTTCTACACTGCCATATAAAATATGGATTATTTGCTTTGAACTGGATTATATGGCAGTAGAGACTCATATAATCCAGTTCAAAGCAGATAATCTGGATTATATGGCAGTGTAGAAAGATACCCAAAGAATAATTGGAATACACAATGGAAGTCTCCAATTAGAACTTCAGAAATGTCATTCAAAAACATACTAATGCTCCAAAACTCTTGGTCTGCAAAATGTTAGAAGTACATGATGTAATATTTGACATTCTAGAAATGAGAACCTAACTGTATGTCATTAAAATACTGATGTAAAGGCTGCAATTCTGTTTGATTTTTGCTTAGAAGCTCGTTTTCTCAAACCATGTCTAAAGCTCAAGCCATATGTATCAAAAAATCTTATTGCAAGTAGGATAGTCCGAGAGCTATTTTACACAGCATCAAAAGAGAAAATATTTTGTATATTATTTCCACAGTTTTGTTCCCAAAATAACAAATTACACATCTAACCTTTTCCTGTTATAAACATGCTTTCAACATTTTTGTTGATTTTCAGAAAATTATTTTATTGGTCACAGAAACTCTGTTGCAGTTTTGTGGTGAAAATTGATTAGTCTTTCTCTTGTTTTCTCAATCTGTACATTGTTTTGAATTTGATTTTATCCCAGAACACGAGAACATGCATCTAGAATTAATATCTAGATAAATAATTTGTGTTCATACCTGAGTATATGCCAAAGCCGAACTCCGTACCTCTTCTGACGTATTTTTGCCATACATGAAATGTGACTGAGTAGATTTCCATAATTCTATTACCTCTGCCCAGCTCCTAACAAAATTTGATTGCGAGATACTCTCACCACAAAGGATATCTGTGATAAATATATAATGATTGTATTTAACACCTCAATTCAACTGGTATTTGCAGCTGAGGAACTTTCCATTTGATGACCAACTTTGAAATAATGAGACCAGACACAGCAAATTGGATTGACTTTGGAAGATGAACATGAATATTAGGATTTGCAAGAGAATGAATCAACTTTTTGTGTGAAGCATTTTGAGACTCTTTGGTAATCCTTCTATGGGCTCTATTCAGACACTACAGAACCCTCTCCCCATATCAAATTTAGTTTATCAGTGAAATCCTGGGCAATCTGATCCGAATCTTATGGAAATCATGCAAACTTGCAAAATGGGCAAGGCCCAAATTGTTTCCACTGAATGAATAGGAATTTGAAGGAAGCCCAATGTACTACTCAAACAAAAGAGGTAGCAAACTGTTCTAATGCAGGTTTCTTCACTCAAGCTACTCCATAGGGGCAAACTTACTCAACTTTAGGCAGTCTAGTTGATGCTCATCTCCATTTCTAAGCCAAAGAGCCAGCATTGTCCATAGACACCTCCTAGGTCAGTGTTTCTCAACCTGGGGGTCGGGACCCCTGGGGGGGTCGCGATGGGGTGTCGGAGGGGTCGCCAAAGACCATCAGATACACAGTATTTTCTGTTGGTCATGGGAGTTCTGTGTGGGAAGTCTGGCCCAATTCTATCATTGGTGGGGTTCAGAATGCTCTCTGATTGTAGGTGAACTATAAATCCCAGCAACTAGAACTCCCAAATGTCAAGGTCTATTTTCCCCAAACTCCACCAGTGTTCACATTTGGACATATTGAGTATTCATGCCAAGTTTAATCCAGATCTATCATTGTTTGAGTCCACAGTGCTTTCTGGAGATAGGTGAACTACAACTCCCAAGCTCAAGGCCAATGCTCACCTAACCCTTTCATTGTTTTGTGCTGGTCATGGGTGTTCCGTGTGCCAAATTTGGGTCAACTCCATCTCTGGTGGAGTTCAGAATGCTCTCTGATTGTGAGTGAAATATAAATCCCAGCAACTACAACTCCCAAGGTCCAGAGAATGAAAATACATCCTGCCTATCAGATATCAGAAGATCCGCCTAGTCAAAGCCATGGTATTCCCTGTAGTAACCTACGGATGTGAGAGCTGGACCTTAGGGAAGGCTGAGCGAAGGAAGATAGATGCTTTTGAGCTGTGGTGTTGGAGGAAAGTTCTGAGAGTGCCTTGGACTGCGAGAAGATCCAACCAGCCCATCCTCCAGGAAATAAGGCCCGACTGCTCATTGGAGGGAAGGATACTAGAGACAAAGCTGAAGTACTTTGGCCACATCATGAGGAGACAGGAAAGCCTAGAGAAGACTATTATGCTGGGGAAAGTGGAAGGTAAAAGGAAGAGGGGCCGACCAAGGGCAGGATGGATGGATGGCATCCTTGAAGTGACTGGACTGACCTTGAAGGAGCTGGGGGTGGTGACGGCCGACAGGGAGCTCTGGCGTGGGCTGGACCATGAGGTCATGAAGAGTCGGAGACGACTGAACGAATGAACAACAGCAACATCAGATATTTACATGACGATTCATAACAGTAGCAAAATTCCAGTTATGAAGTAGCAACGAAAATAATTTTAGGGTTGGAGGTCACCACAACATGAGGAACTGTATTAAGGGGTCCCAGTGTTAGGAAGGTTGAGAACCACTGTCCTAGGTCATGTGGCTGGCATGACTGCACGGAGCTCTGTTACCTTCCTGCTAGAGCAGTACCTATTGATCTACTCACATTTGCATGTTTTCGAACTGCTACATCGGCAGAAGCTTGAGCTAACAGTAGGAGCTTATCCCGCCAACCTTTCGGTCAGCAAGTTTAGCAGCTCAGCAGTTTAACCCGCAGCACCACCAGGGGGTTACTCAACCATAGTAAGTCTCAAATTAGCAATTTCAGGCGCTTCTCAAAAGCAACTTCTTTTTCTGAAGCCACTCCACTGTGACATTCCTGCTTAACTTCAGTTGAAACTTTGTGACTGTACACTATCCAGAAAACTATTATTGCTGCAAATTAGGGCCCATTGTCTTGCCCACTGGCACATAGGAGCAAAACCTACTGGACACATCTACACTGATCACTGATTTCAAAGGGTGCAGCTAAATGATACACACTGCTAACTCAGGCCAAGGCTCAATCAAAACATGTCCATTGACAGGCATAAATTGCTACTTCTCTGAGAAGATTATTTTTGGCATCAAAATTCCCAAAATCTCTCAAGCAGCATGGTCATAATAGTTTGGGAACTCTTGGTGCTAAACAATATTTTTTTTAGGTTCTTGTGGGTTTTTTTGGGCTATAGAGCCATGTTCTAGAGGCATTTCTCCTGACGTTTCACCTGCATCTATGGCAAGCATCCTCAGAGGTAGTGAGGTCTGTTGGAATTAGGACAATGGGTTTATATATCTGTGGAATGGCTGGGGTGGGGCAAGGAGCTCTTCCCTGCTGCAGTTAGGTGTGAATGTTTCAGCTGATCACCTTCATTAGCATTTGAAGGCCTGCCTGAGCCTGGGAAAATCTCTTGTTGGGAGGTGTTAATCTGTGCCTGGTTGTTTCCTCTCTCTTGTTTTACTGTTGTAATTTTAGAGTTTTTTAATACTGGTAGCCAGATTTTGTTCATTTTCATGGTCTCTTCCTTTCTGTTGAAATTGTCCACATGCTTGTGGATTTCAATGGCTTCTCTGTGTAGTCTGACATGGTGGTTGTTGGTGTGGTCCAGCATTTCTGTGTTCTCAAATATTTTTTTTCCCAAAATTTCATAAATTCCCCTTTTTTTTTCAAAAATTTGCTTAGTTAAATTTATAAAATGTATATTATAATAAATATGATGCAATGATTTGTTAAAATGTGAATTGTCTCAAATGCATTTTAGACCAAAAGACATAGGACCTCATCATTTGGCCAGGGGGAAAGCAGGGGAAAGCATTGCCTTACTCTGTTCCCTCCTGTCGAGGTCTGTCTTCTGCCATCCCTGGTCCTTTCCTTCAGGTCTGTCTTTCCCCATTCTCCCCCACCACACACACACACACTTTAGGAGTCAGGTAACACCCAACACCTCCAAAGGCACTCTGGGCTACATTTCTCAACACTGCTGAAACGGAGACCCTTGGAATCCTGCTGGAAGTTGTCTTGTGTCGTGTGAGGGGCTCCATGGGACTTCATTTTGGCAGTGTGGATAAGACGCAGAGAAGAATATATCTGATAAGGTTCATAGACTTATTATCCAAGGGGGGGGGGGGAGGCACATAAGCATCCTTCAAGAAAAAATGATGAGAATAATTATGTGAGCATCCTCAAAACAACAAAAAAACAGCATTCTCTACAGACGTGGTGATAGCAAGCCAGTTCTTGTTTCTGGCATCTGACTTTTAGGCTATCTGTATGATATAATTTACCATCCGCGTATCTGTCATCCAGGAGGCTCGATTTTGCTTGGCATTCTGCAGCCCACTTTTCTGCACCTTCAGCAGCTTTATCACTCCATTTCTTCATAAAGCAAACAAAGAAATAAGTACATTTCTTATTAGATATAACAGATCCCATCATACAATGGAGCACATAGAAGAAAGCTCAAATCTCACCAGTCAGAGAAAAGATCCTGAAACCAGGCTCTCAACTTCCCTTCCCAAGCAGCCAGTCAGAATTTAGCTACTGAACTGAAGAGCCTTGCCAATCCAGGGCATGTGCGGTTCCCCCCGCGGGGACTCCCGCGCACCCCCATCCAAACCATTTCCAGCTCTACTGCAAGAAAACTATTTAGGTAACAGTATTTTTATTTTCAGAAGTGAAGCCTCCACTCTGCTGTCTTGGTTTGGTTTGTCAAATATTTTGCAAATACATGTAACTTTAACTATATTTTCGTGGTTTTTAACTGGGAATTGGAGCCCCCAGTGGAGCAATGGGTTAAGCCTTAGTGCCAGCAGGACTGCTGACTGAAAGGTCGGCGGTTTGAATCCGGGGAGTGGAATGAGCTCCCGTCTATCAGCTCCAGCTCCCCATGCGGGGACATGAGAGAAGCCCCCCCCCCCCCACAAGATGGTAAAACATGCAGGCATCCCCTCGGCAACATACTTGCAGACAGCCAATTATCTCACATCAGAAGTTATTTGCAATTTCTCAAGTTACTCCTGACATGGAAAAAAAAACACCTATGAGGTGTGACAATCAATGGTTACTTGAATTTGCAGATCCAAAGCATCCAGATCCACTGTAAAAAAAACTTTTCACTAAAATTCTGGAAGTTGGAACTAAACCTCTTGGAATTTTTTTCAGTTAAAAATTCTGGGCACACTTTTTTTTTCCAGCTGTGCTATTTTCTTGATTTTTATAAACTGTCAAATAATGGTGGGGGGAGTTGACTTGCAGTATCACAGTAAGGACTTCAAATAATAAGGGGTGGAGAGTTTTGTTTTACCATTTTCTGCATGTTACTAGCAGTTGGTTCCACTGATCTCCTGGCAGCATTATACATGTCAACAATTTCTTCCTGTTGTTGCTTGGAGAGTTTAATTACAAATGATGTTTCTCTCTGAAGTTTGAAAAAAAAAAGATTTCCACAGGTTTATCTGACATGAAAAATTCAATTGCCTTTCATTATTCTGATGAAAGTGAATATGGATTGAGTATTGTATAAGCATTCTGTTTAGGCTTTCACAGAATGATTAAATGCTTATTCTTAATATTATCTTTAATTAGCAGCCCGGATAGCTGCCCAGCTGCATTGCACAAAGTTTAGATCAATTTCTTTTACCAACTTTACTAAAATTACATAATGTGAGAAAGATTAGGTATGTGCTATACATATAGGTGGTGCCTCGGTGGTGCAACAGTTAAACCACTAAACTGCAGAACTTGTTGACTGGAAGGTCAGTGGTTCAAATCCGCGGGATGGGGTGAGCTCCCATTGTTATCCCCAGCTTCTGCCAACCTTATATTAATTATAATTAATATTAACATTAATATTGCAACTCCTATGTACAATCTTCTGCCAACCTAGCAGTTTGAAAACATACAAATGTGAGTAGATCAATAGATACTGCTCCAGCGGGAAGGTAATTGCGCTCCATGCAGTCACGGCGGCCACATGACCTTGAAGGCATCTACGGACAATGCTGGCTCTTTGGCTTAGAAACAGAGATGAGCACCACACCCCAGAGTCAGAAATGACTAGACTTAATGTCGAGGGGAAACCTTTATCTTTATATGTATAGGTGAGAATAAAGGGCTTGCCATGATACTTATGCTATCTATAGTAGAGAATTATACAAACTGGACTCTGTGGACAAGTTATGTTCCTGCTAGATGTAGTACTTCTATTATGTCAATAGCCTTTTCCCTCTCATGATTACACAATCTGAATGACCTAACTCAGTGGTTCTCAACCTGGGGGTCAGGACCCCTGGAGGGGTCATGAGGGAGTATCAGAGGGGTCACTAAAGACCACCAGAAAACACAGTATTTTCTGTTGGTCATGGGGGGTCTATGTGGGAAGTTTGGCCCAATTCTGTCATTGGTGGGGTTCAGAATGCTCTTTGATTGTAGGTGAGTTATAAATCCCAGTATCTACAAAATATCAAAATCTATTTCCCCCAAACTCCACCAGTGTTCACATTTGGGCATATTGAGTATTCGTGCCAAGTTTAGTCCAGATCCATCATTGTTTGAGTGTACAGCGCTCTCTGGATATAGATGAACTACAACTCCAAAACTTAAGGTCAATGCCCACCAAACCCTTCCAGTATTTTCTGTTGCTCATGGGAGTTCTGAGTGCCAAGTTTGGCCCAATTCCATCGCTGGTGGAGTTCAGAATGCTCTTTGATTGCAGGTGAACTATAAATCCCAGCAACTACAACTCCCAAATAACATCAATTTCCCTCCCAACCCCACCAGTATTCCAATATGAGCATTTGGATAATGGTGCCAAATTTGGTCCAGCGAATGAGAATTCATCCTGCACATCATATATTTACATTATGATTCATAACAGGAGCAAAATGACAGTTATGAGGTAGGAAGGAAAATAATTTTATGGTTGGGGGTCATCACAACATGCGGAATTGTGTTAAGGGGTCACAGCATGAGAAAGGTTGAGAGCCACTGACCTAGCTTAAATTAACATCCATGTCAACTGCAAAATCCTCAATAGCATTTAGAATTTTTTTTCATATTCCAGTGGCTTCCTGCCTACATTAAACTAATTTACCCAGCTGTGCCATTTTGGGAATGTTTATCCAGTTTACCCAATTGTTTGAGCATTACACAGTTGTTTGAGGTGAAATCTATTTAAGAAAAAGATCTATGTGATTTGTATGATAGATGTGTTTGTGTAATAGTTTTTGACTGGGTAATCATTATTGCAATACCCAAAAGTATCACCTACCTCTCAGGAGAAACAAATAACTTTGAATGTAAGGACTGCTTTGAGCCCTCTTTGAGAGAAAAGCAATACACTGATCAAACAAACAAAGTCAATACAGAAAAGAATAACTTATTTTGTCACTAAAATCATTATCTTTGATGATGATATTAAAATAAGAATTAGTTAAAATGCATGAATGCAATTGACCTTATGCTGCTACACTCAGCCACCAATAAGACAGAGAAAAAACTTTTTCATTGTCAGTCATGGTATACTCATGCAACTATAATGAAGCTTATAACGTATGGGACTATATATTTTATCACACATAAACCAAGAGTATTATGTCTCCATTCTGTGAAGAATTTGAAGGGCACTTTGTAGGTAAAATCACTCAGATTTATTCCAAGGTTCAGTGGATGTAAGGTTGGCTCCTGCTTGTCCAGGGTCATTGCATACTTTTCAATATGTGCAGTCTGAGGATGAAAGCCATCACATGTGTTCTAGATCCTTGCCCTCTGAGTGATCAAATAAGTTAGAGGAGGACTGGCCGAGTGAGTGAAGGGAGTAGTCAATGCTTCCTTAAAACATGACAGAATCACAACTTGCCTAAGGGGGAGTTGTGAGGCCTATATTTATAAGGCCATCCCCAAACCCCTCTCTAATGGACACTTATTGGTCAGTGTCCAACATCCTGTTTTGGATCAAGGTATTGGACCATTTGGTGGCCTCCCAGTTCCAGGAGTTTCTGGATTAAACAAATTATTTAGACCATTTCACTCTGGTTTCAGGCCTGGTTATGGGGAAGATGAAGCATTGGTCACCTTGCTGGATGATCTAACAGGGATCTGGACAGAGGGAGCATGTTCCTGTTGGTTCTCCTGGACATCTCAGTGGCTTTCAATAACATTGACGGTCATATCCTTCTGGGCCACCTCATATCCTTTTGGATAAACCCAGAAGGCAATGCTGGGATTGTCTGTTTAACCACCAGTCATTGGCCTATGGGGTTCCCCGTTGACATATACATGGAACTGCTGGGAGAGGTCATCGATAATGTTGAGGTGCAGTATTATCTGTATGTGACTGTCATTCATGTGACTCCTTTTAACAAGTACAAGTACAAAACTTTATTATGGTCACTGAATGGCACAAAGTGGGGAACATGACTCCTTTTAACACCAAGCCAAGTAAAGAGTAAAGACCAGAGTAAAGAGAGGGGCCAAGAAGACAGTGCCATCTTGTCTTCAGTGTCATCTGTTGGGAGCCCCTCCTCCCAACACCAACTGCTGCTCTGAGACCAGAGTAAAGAGAGGGATCCAGGAAGATATAGTATTTATTGTATTGTATATTACTTGTAAGCCGCTATGAGTCCCCTTCGGGGTGAGAAGGGCAGCATATAAATGTCATAAATAAATAAATAAGTAGACTAACCTGGTCCTAAACCATTGTTTGTCATTAGTAAGGATGATAAAGTAGATGAGGGCAAATTTAAACTTAATCCAGACAAGAGAAAAGTGATCCTGGTCCGTTGGAAAGGTAGATCAGAGAATAGGAATTTAGTCAGTGTTATATGAGATACCACTTCCCCTGAAAATGCAGGTTCACAGTTTGGGTGTACTCCTGGATACAGCATTAAACCTAGAAGCCCTGGTTTCTATTATGGCCAGGAGTGCCTTTAAAACGTGTATGCCAACTGTCCTTGAGACACTGGATTTAGCCATAATGATAGATGCCTTAATTACATCCCATTTGGATTACTGTAATGTGTTTACTTGGGGCTGCCATTGTAGAGTTTCAGAAACTTCTGCTAGTCCAGAAAAAGGCCAGATTGTTAACTGGGACAGGCTAAAGGGGAGTGGACAACTTTTTTTTGTTTTGCTACGGGCCCACTGGCTGTCAGTTTGTTTCTGGTTAGAACTTTTAATGGTGTTTCCTTCAGGAAATGTATATTTAGTGGACAGCTACTGTAGTTTACTCTGGCATTTTCTACTGTTTTCTGCCAAAGCCCCAGCAGTGTTACCAGTTGGTCATAGATTACCAGGTATATGTTGATATAAGTTTTATTTCTGCATGACCTTCTAACAGTGGATCATAGGATAATCTCATCAGGTTCATACCTGTGCTAGAGATACTTGCAGCACAGCAACCAACGGCAGGAAATGAATTAGAAGATGCATTTCTGGGGAAACAAAAGCAATAGAAAATATGACTTCACTGGTTAAATTATTTGGGGGCATATTTATTCAGATGCAAGTCCTACACAGGGGTCACTTTCAAGGACAGGCGCTCTAGAATGGCTCTTTTTTCTATCCTCGCGGTATGTAGTAATATTCATATTTCATCCTCCACCTTTCTGGGATTTCCCTACCAACATAATGAGGGAAGCCTGTCTCCAACTCAGCTTTCAGCCAGGTGCTCCATGTGATACCATGTCTAAGGGTATTGAAAGAATTGGTGCAATCAAGACAACAGAGATGCATGATTTATCTCCATTTCCAAGTATAGGTCATTGATTAGATGAACCAGAATAAAAAAGTAATGGAGGCCGGTCCTTTAAAAAACATAGGACAATCCCTCTCCAAATCAAAATTGCAGTGTGGGCTATTATGGATTGTGTGAGTGAAACTGGCACAGTAGTCCACCACTGATTTAACCCAAAGTAGCTAAAGATAATTTCAATATAATGATGCACATAAATTTTCGCACAAAAAGGCTAGACTCAGAAATCAGATGATGTTCAGAGCTCATCTTAAAAGCCTGAAGTAGGCCAGATGATGTTGCATACCACACAATAGCTATGTTAGAATAATACTCTGTCACAGTAAATCACACCAGATCTTAGTATCCATAGAGTCTTTACTACTTTATTTTGAATTCCCAAATCTACCTCTTCTTCTGTATATTGGCAATATAAGTTCTAAACTTTTATGCCACTAGGCCATATTCTGCCGTAAATCTGAGATGAGTGGCAGACAATAGTCAATGTTCTATAACGCTGGTGAGAAAACATTTCCTGACTCGTTATTCTTTGCAATGGATTAACTAATAACCTTTTTTTTTTGTCGTGTCAGGAGTGTCCTGTTGTGAGAGAATTGGCCGTCTGCAAGGACGTTGCCCAGGGAACGCCCGGATGATTTTGATGTTTTATCATCCTTGTGGGAGGCTTCTCTCATGTCCCCGCATGAGGAGCTGGAGCTGATAGAGGGAGCTCATCCGCCTCTCCCCAGATTCGAACCTGCGACCTGTCGGTCTTCAGTCCTGCCGGCACAGGGCTTTAACCCACTGCGCCACCGGGGGCACCAACTAACAACCTTGTCATAGGTTTTTAAACATCATTGTGTTATTGTTAATGTTTATTGATATTTTCTGTTTATGAGTTTTATTTATTGTTTGTATTACTGTTGCTATTGTTTTTATTGTTGTTTTGTGGGCTCGGCCTCATGTAAGCCACACCGAGTCTCTTGGGGAGATGGTAGCGGGGTACAAATAAAGATTATTATTATTATTATTATTATTATTATTATTATTATTATTATTATTATTTCTTCTTTAAAACATTTGAAGTACTTTGTCAATAGTCTCCCAGGTCCTGGTATCTTATCTTTCTTTAATTTAGTAATAGTTTCACAAAATTTTCTATCTGGCAGTTGGTTTGTTCAGTGCTTCTCTCTGGTCTAAAGATACCACGGGAAAATCCTTGGATTTCAGATAGTTTTCTACTTCTTCTTTTACAGAGTGGGTTTTATACTATATTCCACCAATTATAAGACACATTTTCCCTAACACACCAAGTTGTTCTTTTTTTAAACAAATACAATCAAGTCCTCAATTTCTTCTTAATCTTCAGTTTGGATTGCTACAAAAATAAAGCAGATTGCATTGTAAGGGAATTTCGCCAGTATTCCCAAAGCTTACCAATCGGGTCCTTGGCTGAGCCGCTTTGGATGAAGCAAAGTCCAAACAAGTTAGGGCAAAATGCGGTTTATTCTTACTGCACAACAGGAAGACGGGCAGACAGCATAACACACAGCATGCCGGCACAAAACTGTCCGCCCCCCTTATATCCCCCTCAGTATGACCGATTGTGCACCAAGTACAATTTCTGCTACCTTTTCATACTGCTTTACTTCAAAATATAGTTTCCCTCTCTTCTCCTTCACAGTGAAAGGTGTGCATTTTAAATTTGTGTTTTAGATTTGTGTGTGTGTGTGTCTTTAAAAAAAAGAGGATCGGAAGCAGTGGCTGAGAGAAATGGAGGGAAGCCAGCTATCTTGGTCAGCTCCCAGAAGGGTTCCCCTGATGCTGCTGCCCTAACGTCTACTCGTTGATGCACACCGTTTTTTAAATTTCCCTTCTCCTTTGTAATCTGTTGATTCCTTCTGTTAATTCCAATATCCTCCTCTTCTGTCTTTTTTCCCTGAGTGCCCTGCGTTAGTTCTGATATGGAGAAGAGTAGTCCAGATCAGCACCATGGGAGTCAACACAGCCAGCTGCCTAGCTAGCTCAGTGGCGGCAGGTGTCCGCATTGTGTGGTACCAAGTTGCCCCAGCAGCTAAATGGAGTCTAGATTAATCAAAGATTTTCCATTATCCTTGATTGCAGTTTTGTTATGTTCTTCTAATACCCTATCAGGAATACCTTTCTTTGTGAACTATATTAGCACACCTCTTGAATACTACTTTTTGATAACAATGGCTGAGTTTACTTTGTACATGGTTTCTGTCTCAGAATCCAAGTCTTCTTCTTTCCCATCTAGAACTTAATGAGACATGCCGCATTATCATGGGGTGCCTGTGCCCTACACCATTGGAGAAATTACACTGTTTAGCCGGTATTGCACCACCTCACATCTGCTGGGAAGTAGCAGCCAATAATGAAAGGACCAAGGCAGTGACATCTCCAGCTCATCCCCTGTTTGTTTATCAGCCAGCATGTCAACAACTTAAATCAAGACATAGTTTCCTAAGATTTACAGACACACTCGCTGAAACACCTCAGCAAGCGAGAGTCCAAAAGTGGCAGGCTCAAACCCAGAACCTCAATCAGTGGCTGATACCTAATGAGAGACTCTGGCATCACGAGATGCAGAGCCAACCTTAAGAAATGGGGCTACAAAGTGGAATCCACGACATGCGAGTGTGGAGAAGAGCAAACTACAGACCATCTGCTGCGATGCAACCTGAGCCCCGCTACATGCACAATGGAGGACCTTCTTATAGTCACACCAGAGTTACTCCAAGTGGCCAGCTACTGGTCAAAGGACATTTAATCAACTACCAAACTTGCAAACTTTGTGTTTTGTTTGTTTAAAAAATGCAATAAAACTGTTTGGCTTGCTCCTGACACAATAAATAAATTTAGAACTTTAACCAGTATTTCTACAATCCACATTCTAATATTTCCTGAACTTTTTCTAAGTCACATATTCTTAAGAAGGATTCCAACTGCTTTTGTTCTAAAAGTGTGAGATGGTTGAGTTATGTGACTAGTTCTACATTTAGAACTTCAGTTTGTTGTTTTGACATGTGTGCATCTTTTTTATTTGTAACATTTTCCTTTTTTATTAATCTCGGTGTCTTTTTAAAAAAATGTCCTAAGATAAGTTGCATCGCATTCATTTGAGGTATAACTAGTACCTACTATGAGGTACTGCTTAATTCCTGTCATAAATTTGTTTCGTCTTTAACTCTTCTCTGATATTCTGGTGGTATTTCATTCACAAGTCTTCCTCCTTATCTCCCCTCAATCCAGGGGGTACTTTATTATACAAACAGAGATATACCGTATATACTTGGGAAAACGGATTGACTCGAGTATAAGCCAAGGGTGGGAAATGCAGCAGCTACGGGTCCATTTCAAAATCAAAATAGATACCAATAAAATTACTTTAATTGAGGCATCAGTGGGTTAAATGTTTTTGAATATTTACATAAAACTGTCCAGCTCTGATTAAACCATTATTCTAACCTTTTTCATTGTAAATGTGCTTACATATCCTTCCGATAATAATAAAGAGAGGAAAATAATAATAATAATAATAATAATAATAATAATGTAAAATGATAAGTGCAATAATAACAACAACAACAACAACAACAGAGTAAAATAATAAATAACCTTGACTCAAGTATAAGCCGAGGGGGACCTTTTCAGCCTAAAAAAAGGGCTGAAAAACTAGGCTTATACTCGGGTATATACAGTATCTTTCTCAACAACCTGTCATCGAGCTGAACTGCATATGGCCTCTTCAGGCACCCAGTCCCACCTGAAATTTAGACATTCTTCATTGACTTGCTTTGTTCTGCTCCTTGAAACCAATTATCGATTACATTTTGAAAACTAGAAACACAGAAACATAGATCTGAAAGAGACCACAAGGGACATCCAGTTTCAAGCCAGGTATCACCCACCCTATATCTGTGCACTTCCTTTCTTCTTCATTAACATCATCTACCAAACTTGTAACTCTATAAAATAAGTTAAGCCTGGCATATTTTTAAGAAATCCTTGTTGACATTAAGTGACCCTGCCATTCCTGTCTACGTGTATCTGAAAGCCATTTATTCAAATGAGAAACACTGCTTTAGGAAAGAAGATTTCTGTCCCCAACTTTTGCATTACCTTTTCTTTAATATTTCTTCCAAAGGGCTGCTAGAGTTAGTTTAGTAATTGCACTGGAACAGTGTATATATAGGACAAACAGTTCCGGCTTCATGAATGGCAGCTGCCAAAAAAAAAAAATCCACAAAAAAAAACAGACCAAACTTCTACTTAAGCATCAAACTGTATTTTAATTTTTTATTCTACTTTTTCAGCTAACATGTTGTAAGGTTACCGCTTGAGTTCTAAAATTCTTCTTGTGTTGCTATATACAACATTAAATTGTAGCACTATACCTCTTATCTAGTTACAGGGCATATTTGACAATGTGATTGTTGAGTGTATAGGATTGTGCAATCACAAAGTAGTGAGAAGTTAACACAGCAATATCTTGAGATGGCAGAAAGATAAGAAACGGGAACTGATTTATAAATCCAGAATTTGGAAAATGTTTATATTTATAGAGAAAATTAAAGTGAAGCATGAGTGCCTTATGATTGGTAGAACTATTGCAAGTAAAACTGCAGGAGTGGGTAAATCTTCAGCTATATTTTAAAATAGGTTTCAGTTTAATTCC